TGTTGATAGAAGAGTATTTATTGCTATTTCATTAGTCATGAGTTTTTTGTCATTGTTCTTAATCCTCACCCAAGGATATTTTTCTGTTGATTTTTAGAGTAAGTGAAAAGGAGAGGGAGACACAGAAACACTGATGTGAGAGAGGAAGGGAGAGGGATAGAGAGTTAGAAACATCAATGAGAGGGAAACATTGATCAGCTGCCCCCTGCACATCCCCTATGGGGGATGTGCCCGCAGCCAAGGTACATGCCCTTGACCGGAATAGAACCAGGGACCCTTCAGTCTGCAGGCCAACGCTCTACCGCTGAGCCAAACCGGTTAGGGCAATTTAATACTTTTTAAGTAAAGAAAATTGCAGCTGGTGGGAAGGTCGGCCCTAAAGAAGATTCTGGGATGTGTAGTCCAGATGCCTCCTGTGATGGGTGCATCTCCGCTCTTGGAAAGAGCAGACATGTTCCTTAGGGAGGTTTAATCAAGTGTTATTTATGTATGGAGGCATTTGGGTTGCCCGAGGGCAGGGAATGAACCCAGCTTCTTTCCGGGAATTTGAATCAGGCCGCCCTAGCGCCCCCGGGGGCGGGGCAGCAGCTCCGGTTCCCCCAGTGATGCTGGGAAATGTAGTCCGTGAGCTCCGCGAAGTCGGAGGCACTTCCGCTGCAGAAGGCCGAGCTCGCGGCCTCGGTTTCTCCGGGAGGTGAGTGAGCCCGGGATCCCGCAGCCTCTCAGCTTTTCTGACCCAATCCCAGGATCAGCCGCCGGCCCTCGGTCACAGGGAGGAAAAGCTGCGGTCGGAGGCCGAGAGCGGGTTTGAGGGGCGGGGCTGCCGCTTGCCTTCCCCTGGGCCGGGCCCCTGCTTTGGGGGCGTTTCGCGAATTCCCGCGTTAGGGAAGAACCGGGATCCCGCAGGGGTGAGTGTCTCCCTGGCTGCCCCGCCTTTCCCCACCCCTTCCACACTCTCAAACATTGGAGGAGAACTTTCATCTCTCGCGGCCTCAGTTTCCCTTCGATATAGTACGAGTCTTATAAATTTGTTTTGAGAATTGATGGCATAGTGCAAGTGAAATGTTTGAAACAGCTCAGGCGTCTGTCTGGCCAGGTGTTGCTGTTAATATTAATATTGCAATGATCAGAAAAATAGAGCCCGGAACCCGGGCAAGAACCTGTGACCTCCTGATTCTTAGGTTGTCGCTCAACCACGTAGCCACGCTGGCTGGTCTATGAATCTCATATTGAAATGGAGAATTGGGCACAATTGAATGAATGACCTGGAGGCACAGTCAGCAGGGGAAAGAGCCAAGATCAAACCTCAGCAGCTGGGCTTGAAACGGAGCTCCAGGGCTCTGTGCACAGGAACTGGGCAAGTTACTAACTTCTCTGTCTTTCCATTTTCTTACCTGTCAAGTAGGGGCAATGCCAATAGCTGCCTCCTGAAGTTCTTGTGAAGATTAAGTGAGAGCTAATATGTAAAGTGTTTGAAATAGTGCCTGGCACGTAGTGAATCCTCCCTGTATTACAGACTAGCCGTTGTCCTTTGTCTATCACAGATGAGTACACAACATGAAAGATGTAGCAAATCAATGAAAAGGCAGAAAGATGTTTGAAGGTATTCTCTTCTCCCCCACCTTCTGCTCCAATACTTCAATTCGGTCATACAGTGGGACAAAAATCAAAAGCTTCTGTAATAACCATTGTTTAAACCTAAAACTAATTTGCTGTCTTTTGAACTTAGGGAGTCCCTGGGTGATGACTATGCGACCTCTGCAGCCTTTAAAAGGTGTTCGTCTGCACTATCCAATCTGGTAGCCATTAGCCACCTGTGGCTATTGAGCACTGGAATTGTGGCTAGCGCTAATTAAGGCACACAACGGACTTTAAAGACTTAGTATGAAAACAGAATGTAAACTCTCTCAATTTTTATATTGATTATAAATTGAAATGGTAATACTTTAGATATATTGGGTTAAATAAAATGTATTGTTAAAATTAAGCTGACTTCTTTTTATCAAATTTATTGAATTTGTTGGTTAATAAAATTATATAGGTTTCAGGTGTACAATTCTATAGTACATCATCTGTATATTGTACTGTGTTCACCACCCTAAGTCAGTGTGTCTACTAGGAACATTTAGTTATATATTTAAGTATATTTTTATTGATTTCAGAGAGGAAGGGAGAAGGAAAGAGAGATAGAAACATCAATGATGAGAATCATTGATCGGCTGCCTCCTGCATGCCCCCTACTGGGCATCGAGCCTGAAACCTTGACCAGAATCAAACCCAACACCCTTCGGTCTACAGGCCGACACACTATCCGCTGAGCCAAACAAGCTAGGGCCTGTAAATGACAGCTCCTTTAATTTTTATGGGGAGTACTTTGTCAATGGCCCAGGTTGCCTTGTGAGTAAAATTAGGGGGTTAGAGTTGATTTTGGCACTCCCTCTGATCCTAACAAACCTTGATTCTAATCCTGCCTGTTAGGATCAGAGGGAAAGAAAAGTTTGTAATGTGTGTTTCCCTTCGTTAATTTTATTGTCTTTGGGCAATACGGCAGGCTGTTGGGGTCAGAAGAAAAGTTGGAGGTGAAGAGGTCGAAGTCTCTGCGAGTATCTAGAGCCGTGATGGCGAACCTATGACACGCGTGTCAGAGGTGACACGCGAACTCATTTTTTTGGTTGATTTTTCTTTGTTAAATGGCATTTAAATATATAAAATAAATATCAAAAATATAAGTCTTTGTTTTACTATGGTTACAAATATCAAAAAATTTCTATATGTGACACGGCACCAGAGTTAAGTTAGGGGTTTTCAAAACGCTGACACGCCGAGCTCAGAAGGTTCGCCATCACTGCTAGAGGGCTGGTTTTGATTGGTTTTACTCCAGGTGTGATCCGGACAGCAGCAGCAGCAACATCACCTGGGCTAGTTTTAGAACCGTAGATTCTGAGTCCCCATTCTTGACCTTCAGGTTTAGAATTGTTGGGGGTGAGACTGTGGGCAGCTGTATCTTCATGGGTCTCCAGGCTCATGGGCCATTGCAATTTGAGAAGTATTGGTAGAAAGGACAGACTTCTCACTTTTCACAAAAATATTGGCTGTTTCCCTCTGGCCAAATTACACCTTCAGATGTCAGATATCTGAAGGATGGCTCTTTCCCCCCAGGTTGAGGTCTCTGCTGATATGGAAGCAAAGCGTTCCATGACAAAAACTTATTCCGTAACAGCCCCTCCTCACCCCTCCCACCCAGCCTTATTGTTCTTCAAAGCATCTCTCCCTGCACTATTGGATTTTTATTATCCTGACACCCCATTATAATCTCAGCTCCAGGAGATCAAGGTCTTTGCCTGCTTTGAATTTTGAAGGAAATGATTCTTTAGTTTTAGACGTTATTTCAAACATTTACAATTTTTACTTTAAATGCAAAATAACTGATAAAAAGGAAAAAAAACATTGCAAAACATATCATACTAATAACCCTTTGCTGCATAACAGACACCAGCCTTTGGTATTTGCTTCAGGTAATTAGGTAAGAAACAAAAACAAACATTTTTTTAAAAATATATTTTATTGATTTTATAATGTGCAGGAGGCAGCTGATCGATGTTTCTCTCTCATCGATGTTTCTAACTCTCTATCTCTCTCCCTTCCTCTCTGTAAAAAATCAATAAAATATATTAAAAAAACAAAACAAAACATCTTAAGACTGTTATTTCTCTCCAGAAGAAACAAAGTTGAGGTATTCTATTTAACAGATGTGTGATCTCCAGCCAAACATGGTTCCTCCATGAATGAACAGCCTTGCCCTATGCTGTTCCAGTCCTTTCCTTCTAAAGCAGATCTTCGTTGGAGCCTATGTTCATTCATAAAACTGGCGATGTTCGTAAATACGGAACGCTACATGAATTTGAGTGTCACCCTTGGGCAGGAGCCATGCTGATCCTCTGTAATATTTCGATTTTAGTTTATGTTGCTGCCGAAGTGAGCACGGAAGGGATTCTTGCTGTGCGGGCTCCTAACAGCCTCCCTGGCCCCAGCCTCTTCCCCCTCAGACCTCCTGTCTGCTGATCTGTTTCCAACAGGAAGGGAATCTTACTCCCCTTCCTCAGGGCC